CCTGGACTTCAGCCCACGGAGCCCAAAGCTGTGAGATAACACACTTGTGTTGTTCCAGCCACTGGGCTTTGGCTGTTCGTTGTGGCAGCAGCAGGAGAGGAACGCACACCCCAGGGGTCCAGAGGACCAGCTGAACACACAAACTTGCACGTCCACACAAGGGAAGACCACACGCCAGGCACGTGATGTTCACGTGTCCTCAACTGAAGAAAGCAAAGCACCTTCTGCATATGGAAGGGGGACACGGGTACGTGTATTGCTAACGCTGCAAAAGACAAAAGAGGACCAGCCAGAAACCTACTGTGGGGCTTCTGGGGAGAGAGGCAACAGCGTGAAGGGAGAACGACGAACACAAACTTCCCTGCATACAACTAGTAGTTCTGACTTTGAGATCGTGCAAACGAGTTATGTGCTCAAAAATAAATTAAATTTTAAGGGCTTCCCTGGTGGCGCAGTGGTTGAGAGTCCACCTGCCGATGCAGGGGACACGGGTTCGGGCCCCGGTCCTGGAGGATCCCACATGCGGCGGAGCGGCTGGGCCCGTGAGCCATGGCTGCTGAGCCTGCGCGTCCGGAGCCTGTGCTCCGCAGCGGGAGAGGCCACAACAGTGAGAGGCCCGCGTACCGCAAAAAAAAAAAAAAAAAAAAAAGTACAAATGATATTTAAAGAAAGCAATCTCTAAAAATGGAAGCAAGAGAACAAAACAAAGACACTGAAATGAATGAAGCTAATCTGTATTAGGCTGGTGATAGAAACACACAGAGAAGAATTTAGACTCAGTATTTTGACTGTACGTTCACAGTGTAATACGGTCTAAGGACAAATAAGTGGCATTCAGCAGGCTCCTTGGCAATATCATGGACATTGCAATTTTGAAACTCTTTATAGAATAACAGGATAAAGAAAATAAGTAATTTTGTTAATATTTCTAGAAAGCACACTTTTAGTATAAAAGTTACTGAAAACGTAAATTCAAAGTTAAGTAATCTTAAATTTGAATTGGAAATATCAGTACGAACTCACGATGTTTCCAAACATACGCGTTTCCTCTCTCTATCCGCTGGAAAATTCTAGAAACAACGAGCAGTCAGCAGCAATGAGCACCCTCCCCTCCCCTTAGTGCCCAGATTACGGCCTTTAAATACGATCTGACGCTAAACGAAACCAGGCAGCGGCAGCTCAGTTTGAGCTGCAGCTCAGCGCTCGAAGGCGCGAGATGCTCCCGGGAAATCCCCCTGCATCAGGAAACAAGGAAATCATCCAAGATCAGTTATCGTGAGGTCAGAACACCTAGAACATGAAGGGCTGCCCACGGGCCAAGATGGGTCAGTGTTACGTTCAAAAAGAATAATGACTGTAGGTGACTGAAACAGACTGAATACACAAAAAAACCCGTCCTGTCCTACTGACACTCAGGAAAAGAGAGAGCAGGGCAGAAAAGGAAGAAAGAAAAACCTGTTCACATTGGGAGTGACTGGGAGCCGGTTCCTCACTCTGCAACGCCCTGCCTTCCTGTGTTCAGGGTAACGACCTGACCTGAGGGAGGAGGGTAGCGCTGCTTCTCAGAGCTCCGGCTACTAAATGCGGAAAGACGGATAGAAAGTTGCCCTTTCGAGTATCTGTAGATAACACTGAATCCAGGCAAAGGTCACCGATGGGTGAGACCACTGGATACGAAGCCGACGGGAGGACAAGGCAGGGACCAGGCTGCCGATCGTGCGGTGTCCCTACGTTCCCTAGAGGGGGGTCCCGAGACCCCATGTGTCCTGATGTGCCGCCGTATGAAGCCCCCAGCCCCTCCCAGGAATCACTCTCCACCACAGTGACCACGACAACGTGGGAACGATCCAATGGAGGTTTTAGAATGAACTTCCTGTTTACAGCAAACACGGGGGCAGGGGGACACGTGAAGTGACACTACAAGGATGCAGATGGGAGATGCTTCTCCGATGGAGGGCATTCCACGGGACGGGGGACTGGGGTTTGTAACAAGGCAGTGGCAGGGGAACAGAAGGGGCTCTGGGTGAAAAGGGCAACATCTCTAGTGGCAGAAGGCAGCTGAGTGGTGGGCTTGAGGGGGTGCTAGGGAGGATTGCAAAGGGCGCAAGGGAGCTAGCTTGTGGGGCCGATGGGCTTGCTCACTATCTAGACTGTGGCGAGGGCCTTACAGGTATACAGACATGCACGTCTGGGTCAAAACTTAACAGACTGTATACTCTAGAAATGTCAAGTTTATTATATGCCAACTACACCTTGAAAAAGCTGTTAAAATTTTTAAAAAAATGATTTAAGAGACACGACAACCAAATGCATAATGCGAACTCTGTGTGGATCCTGTTCTCATCAAAGCCACACTAAAGAGACGCTTTCGGAAAATCTGGGGAAATGGGAATGTGTCCTGATTATTAGATGATATTAAGGAATGTTTATGAATTTTGTCAGGTGTGATAATGGCATTCTCGTTATGAGAAAATACATCCATGGTTTAACGTAAAGGTATCGAAGGAAGACAAGTGCACAGGATGAGAACAGGTGTGCAACCCAGATCCAGACCGAGAAACAACATTCCTAACGTTCCAGAGCCTTCCCGCACAAGACCCCAGAGGGGACCAGTGCTCTAACGCCCAAGATTATGTTTTCTTCTCTGGGACTTTGTACCTGTGGACTCAAATCACGAGTGTGGCTTCTCTCGCTCAACACTGTGCTTGTGAAATTTGTGCCCATTCAGTGCTGAGTACGTGGGAATAAAATGACGTGTGGTCTGAGATACGCAGTGGTCACCAGTGGAGAGAGGGAAGGGGGGGCATGTGGGGCAGGGGAGTACGAGGCACAAACTAAGCTACAGGATGTGTTGTACCACACGGGGAATAGAGCCACTATTTTATAATAACTATAAATGGAGGACAACCTTTAAAGATTGTGAATAACTATACTGCACACTTGTAACTTATATAATATTGTACAGCAGCTATACTTTAATTTAAAAAGAAAAGGTGCAAACTAATAGGCATGAAATAAATAAGATATAAGGACTTAATGTATAGCACAGTGAATATAACCAATATTTTGTAATAACTTTAAATGGAGTATAATCTATAAAAACATTGAATCGCTATGTTGTACAACTGAAAATAATGTAATAGTATGAATAGACGATACTTCAGTAAAATTTCTTTTAATTGAAAACAAAACCCCCAAACACTCCAGCAACAATAAAAAGTAGGACTAGATGGATCTAGATAAGAGAAGAGACGAGCCTGGGTGATGGGTGTGTGTGGGAGCCCATTAGATCATGCTGCTTCCTTTTGGGTATGTTTAAAATGTTTTAGATTAAAAATATAAATAGGTCAGTTGTGGGACAGAAGCACGAAGCAAACGTAGTGTGGAGAGAAGTGCTATGTGTTCCCCCATCGCTTCCTCTCCTCGGACAGACAGAAGGAAGGACCCTTCCCAGACCCCCTGCGGCTGCCTGGAGCCCGCGACTGTCCTGGCGAACAGAACCGAGGGCAGAAGGAGTGTGGACGCTCCCAGGTCCGGCTCTGGAAGCACAAGACGCAGATCTTGAGTCCAGCCACGGAGGGGTGGGCATCTCCACTCCTGTGGCCCCGCCTGGCCTGACTCCCACTCGGAAGCCCTCGGAGTTTGTGTCCTTGGCGTTCACCGTGCCCAGCTGTACTGCTGTCCAGTGACGCCAAGGACAGACTCTCGGCTTCTGTGTCCCTCCGAGCACTCGCCCGGCTCCATCTGGCCGACTCTGAGACGCCAGCACTGGCTTCCAGGAGATCCCACAATTTTTCTCCTGATTATCCTTGATGCGTTTTAAAGTTTGCTTTTAGTCTTTTGGTTTTCATTTCCAGGGGATTTATTTCTTCAGTTTGATGGGAGGTAGGGGCATACGGTGATTTTTTCCTACGTAAATAATTGTTCCAGCCCCATTGATTGATCAGTTCCAAATAGCTGGTTCCCATTGTCAGAATCCTGCAGAGGTTTCTGGAAACAGTTGCTCAATGAAAGTTTTGAAGATGTAGATGGAATCCGTGCCCTGATTTATGGCCAGTTTCCAAGAGCGAATTGTCTTGCAGTAGAGCACAAGCACAGTCACGAAAATCGCTAGGGTTTTTACTACGGACAATAACTGTTTGGAAACTTTACCACCCCCGTCGTGCGGGTCTTTGTCTGTTTTCTCAGCTCTTAGAACAAGGCGCTTCTGGGTGGCTGGGATTCACCGAGGCCCCTGTGACCCTCCCTCTGACGCATGAGCCCCGTGGGGCTTGCTATCTTGCTATCGTGCTTCGAGTCAGAGGCAAAGTCCTCCCTAAGGTCGACCCTCAGGCTCCCCGTGACCTGCCCCCGGCTCTTCCCTACACGCCCTCACTCCAGCCATCCGGCACCCCTGCCGTCCTCACAGGTAAAGCGCATGTTCCTCTCCCAGCAGCCTGAGGGTCCTTCTCCCGAGAGAGGACCTTCCTCCTTTACAGCACAGACTTTGTCTGTTTTTGTTTACCACTGTGCCCCTCGTGCCTAGAGTAGTGCCTGGAAATAAACACGCTCTACAGACATTGCTGAGCAAATGCATATTCATTCGTTCATTCATCCGAGAGGAAAGTTGTACCAAACGATCCTCTTAGTCTGTTCGGTAGCGAATTGTGACACAGAATTAAAAGGAGAATCTCAACCAACGATGCCATCAAATTGGGGGAACTTACCATATACTGAACCACAACTTGAATGCTCACCCCATGATCACTTCTCCCACCCTCCAGTAAGAGCCCAGCCTAACATCCCGTTTTCCCCCATCTTCCCACACCCTAACCCCGGCATCCCAGCCGCCTCCAGTCTCTGGTTCTCCTCCTCCAAACATCACCACCTCCCAAACTACCCAGAGGCAGCTCCAGCTACGGACTCATCACTCTGCAAAGGCATCAGTCAACCGTCTCTCAACTTTAGGCCCCAGTGTTACTCTGTGGAAACTGCAACTCTCGGCTTCAAGGAGACCATACCTGTCCCTCCACGATCCACCTGGAGATGGACGTCTTCCCGTCGTAGCCGGGTCGGAACTGCAGGGTGGCTGAGCGAGGGCTGATGTTGGAAATGACCAGATTGGATGGGGCACCAGGGAGCTCTGGAGATAAATGAGAGGGGAAAGGTGGAGGTTTAAATTCCATCACAGGTAGGAAGGGTATCAACATATCAGCAAGTAAACAGCTCCAAAACGCCTTTATATCAGAACAGGGCTTGTTCACACAACCATGAAGGTGAGAAGCACAGCTCTCCAGGAATGTGCTCACAGCATGACTGCCACTCCAACGGGGTGGCCCGTCAGGCCCCAGGCCACATGCCGTGTCACCGAGACCTGTGAATGTGGCTCCCAGATGACAAACCATGAAGGTCGGGTCACGTCTCACTCATCATCTCCCTGAACAGCAGGGGACTGTTCAACAGTAGACACTTGTTGAGTGAAGAGCGGATGGACGAAGGTGGTTCTTCCAGGATCCTCAAAGAACCCAAAGGACCGACCGTCCCTCCTCCCTCTGACAATGACCTTGACGCCTTCGAAAGAGGCGGGGGGAGCGTGCACCCTGTGCGTCTCCAGGCAGCTTGACGTGGGGAGGTGTGCAGGTCCTGAGCCGTAGGCTTCCTGGCTCTGGTTTCCAAGACAACTGGATTCAGGTGAGAGCGCAGAACTCTTCCCGCTCTGCCAGTGCTCGGTTGCTCTGGCAGCTAAACGAGGGGCGGGTGGGCTCTGCACGAGGCTCCCCCGTCTCAGGCTGCCTGCGGCTAAGCCTCCTTGCTGAACACAGGCGGGTTGCCCACTCCCCACAAGGAGCCCGTCCCACTCAGAAGTGAGATACTGTGAGTTCAAAATGAGAGCTCTTACGTTACTGGGCGATGCGAAAACTCTAGAGAAAGACAGCAGGATGAAATGAAAGCGAAAAAGATGCAATGGGAGCAGGAGAAAGGCTCTCAGGCCGCGCCGTATCTGAGGAACAGCTTCTGAACTCGCCCGTGTTTGGGGTATTTAAGACCAGGTCTCGCACAGGGACAATAAGACCTCTTTGGTGATCAGTTCAGTATTTGCACAGGCAGCGTCGCTAGGCTCTCAAGGGTCCTTTCCACATCACGTCTAATGAATTTGAAGAGGAAAATATTTAAATCGAAGGACAAGTGACTCTTTTTTGCACATTTCTCCGCTCTCTGCATTCTTTAGCTGGTTCTTCAGTCGTTGATGGTTGTAAACTTTAAGCGCGGCAAACGGAACACAGCCCCCAAAGGGATCGTCATCACGTGATTTTGCTCGGCCTGCCCCAGGGTGGACCCCCGGCTACAGGTGACCCGAACCGTCAGGGAAGCAACAGCAGCCCCGCGGCCTCCCCCGAGCCTGGGTATCAGGTTCACTCGGCACAGCCGGGCCCGTGTCCCCTCCAGCGCTTCTCTGCGTCCAGGACAGAGCTGGTCACGGTCACGCTGGGGGCGGAGGTGAGGTCAGCTCGCCCACTTCCCAGCCCCGGTTGGACGGTGTCCAAGCCGTCCAGGGAACAACCTGGTCACGCACAGGGACGTGCCCCCGGCGTTACCGCGGCCGCTGTACGTCAGCCGTGTCTAACAGATGAAATCACGTGCCGTCGTCATCTCCTCGTCACTGGTTATTAAGCACTAACAACATTTTAAATGTGTGCTTGGCAGCTGGCTGTTTACGCAGAATAACTGCATCTCTCTGGAAGCCAAGGACTTCTTTCTTAAGAAAGGATACGTGTATTTTGAAAATATCTTTAAAAAAACATCGGATTGCCTCAGGTGTGGCCCCCGACCAGCAGTGTGGGTGCCACCTGGGGCTTGTTCCACTGCAAGCTCTGCAGCCTCACCCCAGACCCAGGAGTCGGCCATGCGGGAGTGGAGCCAGCACTGATTGGGGGAGGCCCTCATCTGATGCTCTGCACAGCGCTAGAAGCATCACTGCCTGCGAGGGAGGGCAGTGGTGACTGCTTGTCAGCAGACAGGAAGCCTTGCTTCGGGACGCTGCGGGCTCCAGGCTCCCCAGACGGCCAGGAAGGCAGAAAGGGCCCCGTGGGGTCACAGCGCTCAGAGGACAGGATACACTCCCTCCTTCTCTACCACCCCACGGCTTCTCCCGAAACACAGTCCCTGTGCGGAGAGGCGGTTATTCCTCTGGGGAGTTTTAAAAACTGTATACATTTTATTTGTTTTGTATTCTCTTCGGGTCCCGTGTGGTGTGCCATGCTTCCAAGAAAATAATTAGGTTACAAAACCCTAACTGGGCGTGGAGGGTGCGATGGGGGTAAATGCCGGCTTCAGCCTTTCCGGGCCTGATGAGCAAAGCCGTTGTGCTTTTTTCTCAAAGACCAAAACGAGGCCAACTGACCTTTTCAAAGAGCAAGAGATTTCTGGCTTTAATTACAGGACTGAACGGATGGCCCCATGACATCCTCTCACACCCACACGTATTTTGTAAATTCCTTGGAAAAACACTTTCATTTTAAACATAAACTGTGGAGAGAAAAAGTTGAGTGCAATTTCCAAAGCTGGATGAGGGTGAACGTTTAGGAGGAGACTCTGACTTCCAGAAAGCCCCGCGAGCAGGGTCCCCTCGGCCCTGCTGTGTGTGGACAGACTCTTCACCCTTCACGCCCCTTCCTCGCTCCCCTCCCCCCTGTGCCTTTCCCCGCCACCTACCTTCTCTTCACTCCTTCCCTCAAACCCACATTTTCACTCTTTTGTTGCGTGAATGCAGTTTCGTGCTTCCTGGTCTTAAGTGTAACGTTCATTGACCCCCGGCCATCCGAGCCAGGAGCTGACACCCCTCTTTTAAAGGTCCCCAGGGACTTCTGCACAAAAGATGCCCATCAACTCCGAGCGTGAGAAACGGCCCAGGGAAACGCGGCAGCGGGGACGCCAGGCCCCGAGCGCACTGACCTGGGGGCACCCCGGAAGAGATAGTGGACGAGGTGGCCAGGCCAGCGCCCACGGCGGTGAGGGCCGCCACGTCGATGGTGTAGGTGGTGAGAGAGGACAGCCCTTGGATCTTATACTCGTGCGTCGAGCTGTTGAGAGTGCGCTCCATCCGCGAGTCGCTCTTGCCGTACACCTCCCAGGAGATCTGGTAGCCTGGAAAACAAGCGAGGGCACAGGGTGAGTCCCGGGGTCCCGGGGAGAGAGGCTGGGCCACCCGTTTATCTCGGAGAATCTGAGCAAGAGCAGGGAGCTCAGCCGGGCCCACTGAAGTCCGCTGCGAGTCCACAGCCCCCGGAAACGAGACCCCGGGCTGGGCCCCTCCAATCCGGCCGCTGGATCCACAGGGGCGGCAGGAGGACGGGGCTGGGATCTCGGTGAGCTCGGTCCCCGGCGCGTGGACGGAGGGGGCTGAGGGCTGGCTGGCAGCCTGCGGTGCTCGGGGCAACCTTCTCTTGTCAAATGATAGACAAGCTTCATCCGCATTTCCATCTGTAGAAGCTGATATTTTCACTACACGGTCTCCAAATCAGCAGCTTGCTCCTGGCTTGCAACTAACTTGTGGAAACACTGCCACTTTTCCCTTTACAAAATGACTGAGAAAACACTTTTTGCCTTAAAGTTTCTCTCCCCCAGGGCATGAGTGTCGCTTCCAGCTCTGCCTTCCCCTTCGGGCCTGTTTTCCGAGCGACATCTGGTCTCCTCTGCACTCGGATCGTCCGGCGGGGCCTCATGATCACAATTTATCCAGCCATTGCAGTTTGGGGCTCAGAGGAAAAAGACCCTGCCAGCCCCTGGGTCAGCGCCCTTAGAGGGGGCTTCTGTGATTAGAGAACATTTAAGAGCGTCTCCTAAAGAGGGAGGTGGAGATGGAGGGCGCTCCCGGGGCCAAAGGCAGAGCACTGAAAACGCCTGTTCTTCCGTCTTCCCGGACGATAAACTGGGGAGACAGAGGCACTGGGAGGCGTCTTCTCGTTCCTCTCCCTCTGATGAAAGCAACAAACAGAGTGAGAAACTCTCACTCACAGGTAAACAAGAATTTAGAGGAGAGCGTCCCGGGACCTCAGTGTTGTGAAAACAATAAAATTTTAATGTCAGAAGCCGCTGCCCGTCTGCTGCCCCACAGCCTGGCGACCTCTGTGTGCTGGGGGGCTCCTGTGCTAGGGTGGGGCGGACGGGGCACCCGGCAGTGGAGGAAGCAGGGGGCCCTGCCACACGTCGGAAGCCCCTAGCTGCGTTCCTGGCCCGTGGGGACCACTAGGCCCGCGGCTCCAGCTGCCTCTCGGGGGGCCAACCACTCACCATCTCCCGACTCCAGACCTTAGAACCTCCCTCCTCCCGGGGACCATCCTGACCTCTGGCTTCCCGCATTCTCAGTGGGCCGGCACGAACACCACGGTGCCCTAAAATCAACCCGTTCTGTCTTTTTGGCCAGTTCAGATTTTTGGAACTGATTGTACAATTGAAAAAAGAGAAACCTTCAGGGCAGTGAGGATTAATGACTTCAAATCCACAGAGTATTTATGATGTTCCTGTGATGCTCTGAGCACTTCACCTGCATTAATTCGCTCAACCTCATGCCAGAGCCCTGAGGCTGGACCATCACGACCCCTACCTTACAAAGGAGGAAGCCTGTGCCACCAGAGGTTCCTGGACTGGCTGGAAGCGGCCCAGGCTCTTCACCCTCCACGGAGCCTCCTTCCACACGACCTGCCCTCGGAAGTCCTGACGTGCAAACCTGGAAACCAGCCCCGGCCTTGGTAGGTTAGCCTGATAAATCTCTACATGGAGTGACGACACTCGGCGTCTTCCCTGAACGCACAGGAGGAGAAGGCTGTCGTTATGTTGTCATACACGCTTGCCGTTACGTATGTTGTTAATGTCACAACCTTGTCTGTCGGACAATTTTATTTGTTTAAAAGCTGTTCTTCATCAAAATTTCCTAAAATACAGCCTTTTGTTCTGCACGGCAACCTGGAGCCCAAGCACAGCAATTACAACACCTTTAGCAGAAGAGAATTACTAGGATCTCCTGGCATCAAAACTGACACTCCAGTGTGCTGCCGTCATGGCTACAAACACCACCAAACGGATGACTGAAGACGCCCGTGTGCTCAGGAAAGGGTGTGACAAACACCAGCAGAGAGAGGGAGCTGGCCTGGAGGCCGCGCACAGAGGGACCACGCGGGGGCGTGTGGTGGGCAAGGCCCCGAGCGGGCCGTCCTGGCCGTGAGTGTCCCTCTGGCTCCGGTGCAGGAACGGGGGGCCCCCAGCCAGGGGCCGGGCCTCCAGCTGGCGCCCTACCTGCTCCAAACAGCTGCCCAACTGAGACTAGCGACCGGAGGAGCTTCAGAACTAATTCTGCGTGGATCCGGCGTGAACTCTCTGCGAGAGGGCAGTGCATCCAACCCCAGGCTGTCTGCCTGCATCCCGGCCCTCACAGACCAGAGCTCACGCAGGGAGACAGGAGGACGCTGGAATTTACAGGGAGCGCTCGTGGGCAATTCACGCGCGAGCCCGGCGGCCCTGCCGCTCGCCTCTCCTTCCGGCAGCACAGGGGAGCTCCCGGCACCCAGTTTCCTGAGGGCCGTCTGCACACAGAGCCGCCTGCACGCGGGACTGACGTCATGCTGCCGGCAGCTGCTCTAACAGCCTCGGGCGCAGAGGGACGGTCGCTGGTCCCCTGCGGACGTTTCCTGAAAGGGGCTTTTGGAGGCCAGGTCTGCCCACAAACACGGTTTTTCTTTTGCTATACTTGGTAAAATTCTCTCCCTCCAGCCTGGAAAAGGCCTCTGGGGTGCTGCCGGCGTGCCCCACGGGAAGCCCAGTCAACCTGGGGAGCGCCGCCCTGCGTGTCCGGGCAGAGCGTCCAGGGCAGGGAGAGCCCCACGGAGGGCAGAGGTCCCTGGCAGGTGACCACCGCCGGGCTCTCCCCTCTGGGGAGGCCCTCTTCCCCCGCAGCCCATCGTACAGGGTGGGCGGGAAAGGCGAGGGCACAGGCCAGACGTGGTGGGACAACGCGGCCCCGAGACAGGAGAGCGGAGCGTCTGCCTGCAGCTCCGGCCCAGACCCTCAGAGCTGCCACCGCGTACTCGCTCTCGGCCCAGGGGCAGCGCGACCCAGCTCTGAACAGCTGGCGCTGCGAAGGCTGAGTTCCACAATAAACATATAGCTGCTGCCTGTAACTACAGGAATTTGTTTAATAAAACACGAAATTGGGTTCCTCAAGCTCTATTAGCTGGCGTGACGGAGGACCACCCATCGGGAGTGCTGGTGCCGCCGCTCAGCCTGGGGAGGTCGGCTCCCCTCGGGTGATGACGCCCGGGGGGCTCCTTCAAGACTGGAAGCTGGAGGGGAGACCTCGGTGCTCCCCAAGGGCAGGGTGGGGCTGAGGGTGTGTCTGTGAGGGGGCGAGGCCTGCCTGCCGCCCGGGGAGTGCGTCCACCGAGGGGTCCTGGCCAGATTTCTGAAACGCAGCACACTGAGGTGAACCCTGAAGCCTGAGCTGACGGAGGTGAACGGTCTGCCTCTCCCCACCTCAGCCCCCTCTGAAATCAGCAGTAGGTACGGCTCTAATTCACTCTAATTCAGCCACAGACGGTCCCCAAGGGGCCTGAGCTCGAAGGCCTTTTTCTTCCAGGCGGTAGGGCCTCCTGCTAAGCATTTGCTTCTGGGTTTGCCTTCCCTCTCACTAGCCTGTTTTTCCTCCCTTTGTGTACCTTAAAGTGACATCCTGCTGTCTGCAACCTCCCTCCGCCGCCCCTGCACCCGCCTGGTTTAATTCCTTCCGCTCCTGGCCACAGGAGGGCTTCTTCATTACATACTCAGCACTGCAGTCCTCTACTACGGAGACCTCAGAACGTGCAACACATTGGGGTTTTGAGGTCCAGTTTCAATAGTGACTTTTCCCCATTCCTGGACTTAACATTATTTAAAGTGGGTATTTCAAAACATCAGCTTCTCGAGGGCAGAACTAGATTCGTAAATTTACTTCATTTAACAGTGAGGGTCAGAGGCGGCGTCAGTTCTCAGGTACCATCTGGACCCGAGGACTCCACTCTGTGAGGGGGTCTGGTCGAGTCCAGGTGAGTAGAGGGCATCCAGCAGGGAAGCAGTGGGCGGGGCTGACGCTGGGAGGTTTCCTGAGTGACGGGAGAGAAAGGAGGAGTTTCGTGGAGGAACACGGTCCCCCGGGCACTGCAGGGAGAGTGGTGCTGCCCCCCGCCCGTGTCTGGGGGCCCCCGCAGCCCTCCAGCTCGAGCGGGTCACAAGTCAGCATCAGAGCGCGCCGCACTCCTTTGGACGCCCCCTGTGTTTGCAAAGCTGAGTTTTTGGTGGTTGCTGTGATAAGGACACAGGAACAACGTGAAAGCCGACGTGGAACAGGAGCTTTGGCAGGCAGGTCCACTCTGATTCCAAGTTGGAGAAGCTGGGCAGGACCTGGGGGCGCACACGTCCCATCAGGAACTAACTGGTTATTTGAGAAGGTAATGCAAATATTCTTTTCTTTCAATTAATGTGTCTGCTCTTTTCAAACGTCTATTAAGGAGCTAGGATAGAAATACTTACTAAGTTGTGTGCACCTGACCACCTGGCAAGCAGAACTGCCGGGTGTTTCTCTGGCCTGCGGCGTGGCGAGGGGCCCAGTGAGTCACCGAGCGCAAGGACCCGAGACAGGGACGCTCTGGGCTGGGGTGAGCAGCGCGGGTCGAACCCGCGTCCAGGCGTTGATGACGTGGAGGAGAGGACGCGGCACCCCTGTCCTGGCTTGGCCACCTGCTGGCCGCGTGACCCTGGGACATCATCGCTCAAGGTCTCAGACGGGGTTACGAGACGCGCCTTGCCTGGTCGTTCGGAAAGTAAACAAGAGCCGGAACGCTAAGGGGGCCTGCACGCGGGAGGCGCCCACGGGTGGTGCTGCCACCCAGCACACAGGGTGGGAGGAAGGGGACTCTGACCCTGTGGCCAGGCCGGGGACAGCCGACCGCCCCTGGTCCACACGGCTCACTCCCGGACAGTTTTCTTGACCACACAGCCGGCGTGAGCACGCTTCCTGGGCCACGGGGCTCACGAGGGACCCCAGGGGCATTGGTGGTCGGCTGGACCACCTGGCCAGTCGCTGAGGGGCGGGCACAGCTCCGGCTCCCGAGGGGTCACCAGCGGACGGACGTGAGGTCCCCAGGAAGGGCTGCCAGAGCGGTGGGGCCTGCGCTGTGAGAACGCTTCGCGGCTGGCAGGACGGTTCAAGTGCTGTCTACTGAATGGAAAGGGCCGCCCGGGGCAGATCAGGCCAGGCAGCCCCCGGGGCTCGCCCGCAGCCCCCTGAGGGTGTTTCGATGCCCGTGTGTGGGGAGGGGGGAAGGGGCGTGCGAGGGGAGCCCTGACCTGCTGGAACACGGTCCTCCCCAGCCTCCCCTGAGGCCGAAGCCCATGCGGATTTTATCAAGTCTGCGATTCTTTTCCCCAAACTAGGGTTTAAATTCAGCTTGAACCTGAGAAGTTCTTCAGAAACCTCTTCTACAACATAAAATCATTAAAAGCCCTACAAGGTGAGCTGTTCCCCAGAGACCCCGCGTAGGAGAGGAGAGGCGGCCGGTGCCCAGCCCCGCGCCCCTGGGTCCCCGGGCGCTGCTCACCCTGAGGTCCCCCGAGGGTCCCGAGGGGGCCGGCGGCCTGGCACTGGCACCGGGGGCGTGGCCTGGCCACTCGCAGGCCGGGGCGCCCAGGGCACAGCTGCCTAGGAAAGGTCACCCCACCCGCCTGGCCTCAGCCTCCTCAGCTGTAAACAGTCGTAATCTCAGCAGTCGCCTCACCGAGTTGCCGTGAGAACTAAGGGAGAGAAAGGCCCACGAGAGGACGCACCAGAAACACGGATTCCTGCCGACCGGAGGCGCTAGAGGCTTGTTCAGATAAGGCGCGGAGGCCAGTCTCCAAACTCTGCGGCTGCAGCCCAGGCAGGAAAGGGCACCGCCTGGGGGATGGCGAGCGAGCCCTCTGCCCTCCGCCCTGCGGCTAGTCACCCTGCAGGGGCCGCAGGCACCCGTGCGCTGCCAGCCGCGCTGCTTGGGGCTGGGTCCGTCGCTCTGTGTTGGGGCAAACGTGTTCCTCCTCTACCTGAAGACTGAGACCCTTACCTGTAACGATGCCGTTTTTCTCCAGGGGCTCCTGCCAGCTGACCTTCAGAGACGTGTCCAGGATCTCCGTGAAACTCAGGTGTCCCACAGCTCCGGGTTCTAGCAATTAAACACAAAGACGTCTGTTAGCAAGACAGCCCAATACTCTCTGGTCAGATTTGTGTGGAACGTTCTCACTGTGGAAGGGGGCAGGGAGCTGGGCCAGAGCCCGCAGGAAATGTCAGAGAAAACCCAGAAGGGACAGGGAGTCCGAGGTGTTGGAGGTGACCCGGCTATGGTCACATAAATTATTTCACTCGGCCTCATCCCGGCCTCACCAAGAACTGCAGAGACCGGCAGCAGGAGAGGCAGACACAATCCCTTCTCTGTCTTTCTCCTGATCTGATCTAATTGGAACAACCAGGTGGCTGGATCCTGAAAGCAACCGCATGCACCGGCATCCCCAGAGGCCTTTGCAGCCGTGTCATGTGTCTGGCTTGTGTGGGGACAGAGCCCGGAGCCCTGGCCCAGAGGCAGTCCCGGCCACACCTGGCTGCAGGGCGATGCCTGCCGACCTGATCCAGAATTCCAGGCCGCAACCCTTACTCACTCTCCCCAGGGGCCCCAGGGGCAGGGCGGGCGCGAGAAATTTCCAGCAAAACGGCATGTTTCCCTGGAGTTTCCCTGACCGTAGCCCCTCCTAGTGCAGGAGGGCAGAGTGGCGGAGCTGCGATTTAACGCTGGGCTCAGTGGGGTTCAAGCCTGGCCCCTCTGCTTGCTGGCTGTGCATTACTTAAGCTCTCTAAGCCTTAGTTTGCTCATCTGTGAAATGGGGAAAATAACTCCGCAAGGTAATCGTGAGAAGGAATGGAATAAAACACGGAAGCGCTTAGCGTGTCCTGACACCACAGAAATGCTGATGGACGTTGGCTGCTATCGTTACTAGTTGTCAGTTATCGTACCATCAGAATATAAAGTCATTTCTAAGATGAACTTGCTGTCACTTTGAAGAACACCAGAGAGAAAAGGCCTGAGAGGCCACAACAGGAGTTCAGCAGATCCAAGATCACGGATTCTCAGAGCCGGAGGGACGTTACGAATCTGCTCGGATCCCTCCCCGGCTTTGCAGCCGTAAAATTCAACGCCAGGCCCAGGGCAGTGAAGCAACTGCCCGAGGATGCACAGCTACCAAGCCCAGAGCTGGGCCTGGCAGGGGCCTCCTGCTTGCTCTGGGGGGACCACAGGGCCATCCGGGGGCGCGGTACTTGTGGCGCACGGGCTTAGTTGCTCCGCAGCACGTGGGATCTTCCCGGGCCAGCGCTCGAACCCGTGTCCCCTGCATGGCAGGCGGATTCCTGACCACCGCGCCACCGGGGAATCCCACATTGCACTCTCTGAGTGTGGAACGTGGTAAAGGAGAACGGCTGTCAGGACCATCTCATCCTCCCCCAACTGTGAGTTTCCAGAAAGACGGTCTGACGGATTTTTGAACTGACTTGTTCTTTTTTCAATCTATAGAGCAGCAAAGAAAGCTTTTGGTTCCTTTTCTATTCTCAGTGTTTCTGCTTCCTGGATTCCTGCCCAAATAGTCCTGTCCTCTAGCTCTGCTGGAACCAGCTGGCAATGTCCAGGCTTAAGTTTATATTGTTTCCTCTCTACTGAGCTTCCCACTCCACACACCCTGGCCCCAAGTTCTTATTTCATCAGAGCGTTGGAGAAGGGGGCCAGCTGGACGTGGGGCTAACCATGGCGCCATCCGCGCCGTCACTACAGAGCGATGGCGGCCATTCCTCCAGCGCCCAGAGTCCCAAGTCCTCTTTTAAAGGCCACGCCCCCCCCCAAGAGCTGACAGCAGCCCTACCTCCCCCGTTTCAGTGAGATCGTCCCTACTTACAAGGATGCTCTATCTTTCCAAGTAGGATGAACAGGCTCCCTGCCTATCAAAAAAATGGTGGTTCAGTTAGAAAATTCTAAAAAGATGACGTCACTGCCATTTTTCTCAATTCCCAGGACATTCCTGATTTCTCTCTTCCTTACGAACCAGCGGGCCTGGCGGCCCTTAAGGCTCTGTTTCCTGGCTGCACAGCACTGTGAGATGTTTCCCCATAGTCAGTGTCTGTCTGTTTAAACGGCAACAATAGGGCTTTTTTAGTAAAGAATTCAGCCAGGAGTCTTCTCTCATGTATCTGAAGAAGTTCTCTGCTTTTTGCCACTTTTTATTTTTAACAAATGTCCTCTGGGAAGTAAAACCTGACATCCGGTTGGACCTGGCCGTGGTTGTTGCTGAGATGCGGCCCTGGCCTCTTCTTTCAATCATGAACTAGAGGAAAACGTCCAAATGATGAAGGGCCGTGAGGGGTGCTTGACAGCCGCTCCTAGAGTTCACCACCACCTTCCTTAGTTATGGGGACTCTCCCCTCCCACCCCGCTTGCAAACGTAAAGCTGTTAGGCTGTGTTTTCCCACAGAGGAGTGGAGCACGGAGGCTCCGAGCAAGCAGAACGTCCCTTCTTCTTCCAGAAGCCCCTCTGCTCGCCACCCCCTGCACTGTCCCCAGACCAGCCTCCCCTCACACGACAGTGCCAGCGCCCAGGGAGCCTCCCGTTCCTCTTACGCCCACCTGATTCCCAAAGCGACTGCATCCGCTTAGGTGGAATGGCACTGATATCAGATATTTCCATCTGCGGTTAGACCACGGGCTCAATTATATTCCCTCAATTATTTTCCTCGGAAAATAAGGTCATGATCGCTAATTGCTAGGACTCCCAAACCTACGGCTTCAGACTCTCTGCTGCCCACTGGCCACACCTGCCTCCATGTGAGTGTGATCCGACCAAACCCAGCGTCCTAACCCTGGACCTGTTTCCCTCCTTTCAGTCACGGGCATCACCATCTGCCCCGTCACCTACGCTGAAGTATGTGGAGTGATCTGCAGAACCCCTTCTTCCCACCCCCTAAGTCTGACCAGCCCCCAGTTCTCTGTGACATGCCTCTAGCGTCTCCCCTGCTGCTGGCTCCACCGCTGGTGTAGAGGTGCACGTAAGTACTTGCCTTCTTCCCAGATTGCATCACCTTTCTCTCTAGCCCATCATCACAAAACCTCCAGACAGAGCTGTTGAAACACTCAAGTCACAGCCCTAAGGGAAGTCCCTCTGTGGTTCCCCAATGCCTAGACTATCTCTGTCCCAGCGTCTTAACTTAGCAGTTGAGACTCTCCTGGGTCGGCTCCCACCTTGTTCTCTAGGGTCACCCCCACCCCACAGGCTACGCTGAAGCTGAGCTAAATGCCTCATACCCTCTCACACTCTCTTCTCCTCCCTTCGCCTTTACGGGTTCTGTTTCTTCTCAACCATTCTCGGCATCAAAAGCTTATCCATCAGGGCTGACCTCGGTTCTCAGCTCCTCCACAAGACTGACCTGGCCCCCCCAGGTATTTTCTGTCACTCCTCACTGGGCTGCCGCAGCCACTGCTAACGACCTCCTTCCTCAGTGGCACTGACCTCAGTCCTGTCCACCTCATATCTGATTAGGCTGCCAGCTCTAAAGGCAGGGGCTGTGCTTACTCATCTCTGCTCCCCCTTCAACACGCAGCTGGCTACCTCTCACATGATAGGTATTCTACAAACCTCGGAATGGAAGTACGTATACACGTTTGTATGTTGGACAGATGGATGAATGAATCCCCTGTAATTATGACAGGCCCAGTACACACAGAACTTGATGAGGTAGCCTTAATATTTTTTTTTGAAAAAAGAGAAGGCTACACCTGACCAACTGTCTCTTTTAATCCTAAAATCTGATGAGGGCTAGAGAAAGTTTATAATTATAAGGCAGATTCCAAAGCAGAATACACATTATATTTTCAAGAACTCATGAAACCTTAACTGAGACTGATCATGTTCTGGGCCATAAGACAAACCTCAATAAATTTAAAAGAAGTGAAATTATGCAAAGTGTGTTCTTTGACTGTAATGGAGCCAAGCTAGAAGTCAAAGGCAGAAAGACAGCAGGAACATCTCCAACACATGGAAATTAAATGCCACACTTCTAAATAATCCATGGGTCGAAGAGGAAGCCTCAGAGGAAATAAAAATGTATAGAGCTCAGTGAAGATGAAACAGAACGTACCAAAATATGTGGGATGCAACTAGAGCAGTGTGAAGAGGAAAATTTATAACACTAAATGCTGACATCAGAAATGAGGACAGACCTCAAATCAATCACCTAAGTGCTTACCCCAAGAAATTAAAAACAGAAAAGCAAAATAAACCAAATCAAGCAGAAGGAAATATAAGAGCAGAAATCCATGAAATTGAAAATAAGAAAACAACAGAGAAAAGTTAATGAAACAAGATAGCGGTTCTTCAAAAAAAATCAATAAAATTGATAAATTTCTAGGAAGAATGACCAAAAACCTCCACAAAAAACAGAAGAATGAAATAGGGAATCTGACTACATATTTTGCAGCCACTAGAAAAACAATAAGGAAGTACTACCAACAACTTTACACTCAGAAATTCCACAACTTTGTGGATTGATTCCTTGAAAATCACATATTACCAAAATGAAACAGACGACTGAGCAGTACTGTAACCATTAAAGAATCTGAAGTTATAACTTAAAAACTCCCAAAAAAGAACTCTCCAGGAACAGAGGATTTCACTGAAAAATTCTACCAAACATTTAAAGAAGAATGAATACCAATTTTACACAATCTCTTCCAGAAAACAGAAGAGTACGAACTTATTTTATGAGGCCAGTATTATGCTGATACCAAAACCAGACAAAGACAATAAATACAGCAAAGTAAAATTTCAGACCAATATCTCTCATGAACTTAGATGTAAAACATCTTCCATAAGGTATTAGCAAACCGAATCCCACAACATGAACAATAATTATACACCATGACCAAGTGGGATTTATTCCAAGCATGCAAGGTTGGTTCAACATTTGAAAATCAATCCACCTTATCAATTAACAAACTAAAAAGAAAAATCATATGGTCATATCAATTGATGCTGTAAAAGCAGTTGAAAAAATTCAACATTTATTCATGACAAAAACTCTCAGCAAGTTAATATCAGAGGGAAGTTACCTCAACTTGATAAAGAACAGCTATGAGAAATATCATACTTAACAGTAGAAGACCAAATGTTTTCTCTCTAAGATCAAGAACAAGGCAAGAATGTCTGCTCTCACCACTCTTATTCAACATAGTACTAGAAATTCTAGTCATTGCAATGTGGCAAGAAAAAGAAATAAAGGACATATAGATTAGAAAGGAAGAAAGGGAAGGACATGGATATGTCTATAAAAGAAGAATCTCTGTGGTATTGGAACCATGCAGTATCTTGATTGTGATGGTAGATACACAAATCTATACATGTGATAAGTCGCACAGAACTAAACACACACACACGAGAACAAGTAAAACTGCAGAGATCTAAATTGGATCGATGGGTTGCATCAATGTAGATATCCTGGTTGTGATGTACTATACTTTTGCAAGTGTTACCATTGATGGAAACTGAGCTAAGTGTACATGGGATCTTAGTATTATTTCTTACAAGTTCCTGTGAATCTATAACTATCTCAATAAAATTTCAGTTAAAGAAAAAGCAGATAGCAGATCAAAGTCAGAGTATGGAAAGAACATCAGGGATCAGTTAATAGTGGCAGAGTTACTTTTTATCTTTTTAATGGGAGGAATATCAGTGGTCTCAGAGGGTCAAGAAATCCATTTCTATTCTTCCTGTGTCACTAATTTGACACAGACCTTGAGTCAATTCAAGGCGGTTACAGCAGAGTAGTGGAGTGAAAGCCAGGTGGCCAGGGCTTATGGGGAGTGGGAGAGGTTAGGAGGCAGAGTAATCGTTTATACTGAGAGCTGGGTGACTCAGTGGGCAGCACGGTCAGGGAGTTGGCACTTCCGGGTGAGGGAGACCTGAGCACATTTGTGGGCTGAGGAAAGGTCAGACTCTTCATCCTCTGAGAGAGGAGGGAAGAGGACCAAGAGTGAGAACATAGGGAAACTCAGGTGGAAGTGGGGGAAGCGAGGAAGCTCAACTTGCACGGCCTTGACCTCTGTAAGTGTCATTGCTGGGAGGACAGTGAAGCTGGGTCTCAGGGGGCAGGACAGAGCGGAGCAGTGGATGACAGCACCGAGCAGAGATAAGTACAGAAGGTCAGACCACACCCAGAGCCCAGCTGAGATGGGAGAGGAGGAAGCTGGAGGAGAGACAAATGGCAGCCTTTTTAAACTTATTTAAGTTTTAATTCTCCTTATAAAAGAGTACATACTCATTGTAGCAAAGAGAATATGCAGAGAAATAAGAAGAAAATAGTAAAAGATACCCATAATCATGTCACATGGAGATAACAACTGTCGGAATTGTGATATATTTCCTTCAAGGTCTTTTCTCAGCTAATATGGTGTTATACAAGTGTATTTGTATAAAATTTGTAACTCATATAGTTTTGTATACTGTTTTTTTTTTTTTTTTTTACCATGTAACATGAGATCAAGACCGTTTCCTCGCAAAACTTCTTTTTAATAACTACAAAATATTTAGTATATTGTCATTCCATAGGTTTTCAATTATCCCCCTTTGGAACATTTGAATGTTTTTCATTTTTTTTTCAATTACTAATAATTGTAACTAACCTCATTGTATATAAATCTTTATGCACATCTGTGATCATTTTCTCAGAAAATGTTTTCCAGAAGCATCAGTTGGCCTAGGAGCAGAGAAACAGCTGATCTGAATTGACCAGCTGGAGACAATGGAAAGTCCAGGGTCTTAGAGAGGCGCAGGTGAGATTCCCCTAGGGAAGGTCGGGGAAGACATGGGCTGGGAGGCTTTAAGGGGAGATTCAAGAAGAAGGTAAGGGGATTGGAAGTTGAAATCTGAGTGAAGAGTAGTCTAGCAAGACAAGACCAAAGGCTGACTGTACAGCTGGGACTGGACTGTCCCTCTTGTCCTCACAGCTCCTTCCTCTAGCCAGGCTTCCTTCCACACTCCACAGACCATCTCTGCAAACATTATTACTACTTTCAATGACTTACCTCTCCAGGGTGAGCAGACTGTGAACACACTGAGAACACGGAGCTTGCTAGAGACCCACCCTGGCTCCTCCCCTGTGCTGGATACGACAGTGGCCCAAACCTCTTTGACAACTGGCTAAAGGCTATCGATAAGAACTTGGAAAGGAGTACTCACTGTCTTCATGTGTCCGTATGAGCTGAGGCGGGCTTGGAGGCCCGTCCCCCGGAGTGGTGAAACACAGAACTGATGTGAAGTAAGCAGTAAACTTCTTCAAGTTCGTTATGTACCCATGGTGGACTCCATGGAAATCTGGAGCAATGGTGACGACAGTGACGGCCTCAGGGACATCGGCTGGCCACGCCAGAAGCTGGGATGGAACGGGGTGAAAAAGAGATCCTTTTAATTGCATGTCTTCACCCTCAAGTCTGCACCAGAATTTTATTTCACAATTAAAATGTCTTCAAAGAAAGCAAAGTTGTAATTAAGGAACCCCATACAGCCTACATTTTATAATCTCACTGAAAAATATTGAGTTTAAAAGATATCTCGTAGATTATTGAGTACAAGTATGTATATTTATATATATTTTTATACATGTGTACATAAATAAAATATCTACTCTAACTCATATTGGGAAAATGGACACTCCTCAAACCTTCACCTTCTGTTCACTTAAACATGTTACAGAACATATTTATTTTTTAACATTTAGAAATAATGATGACATTACTGTTATTCAACTGCATCAGTGCAATCAAACATCAGTACAAACATTTTTCTAGTTAGGCACCTGCTGATTCAAAAAGAAGCCCCCGGTTCAATGGGAACAATGGTAATTATTTATAACTCACATGACACCAGTTTTCTAAAAAGGATTTTAGGAGACATTATACTTTTAAAGAAATATAGTACATATACACGTTCCAAGGGAAGTTGTTTTAATGTTTTGGCAACATTATGTATGAATGTGACTTTTAATTCCTGACACCAAACATTTCTAGGGTTAATTAGGTCTGAAAATGGACACTGTGCAGAACAAGGAGCATATTTATATAGATTTTAGGCCGACAACCAAGCCATCGAATGAACACCCCAGTCTTGCCAATAAGACCTGACAGGAGAGTCAGGAAGGCAGAATCCACTTCGTTGATCAACATGATTTCCTTTCTAAGGAGCTTCTGACTGTAGATACCTCTGGGGGCAAAAAAAAAGGCAGGACAAATTTCCAGCTACGTCTGCCTTTCTAGTGAAAACCAAGTGTTTTAGTAAGTTGAATCCAAATGGAAAAAAGATTGGGAAAAAAATTAACTGTGTGTCTGAGGCAATAACACCCTCTGAATCTGAAATGACCAAGTTTTCAAGCAAACTCTCTATAAAGATACTCCCTGAGTTCACCTGCTGTCACAGAAGATTTGCGAACATGCTGCAGGTAACATTCAGATGGTCTCCCAGGACAGCCAGGAGATGCTGATCTAAAAGGAAACGTAACCTGTACTTTTGGAAACTGCATCCAGGTACATCTCTGAAGGTAACATATTCTGGTACTCAGACGAAGGGCAGATAGGAGTCTGTCCTTGTCTCTAATTCAGTCCGGATAGGTGCCCCGAGTCAGCTGGTCCCAGTTCTACAAACAGAACTTTCCCTAAAGTAGCGAGAGGGGGACCTACTTATCCTTACTTGGTAGAAACATCACTCAGTTGCACCCAGTGTGCTTTGAGAGAACGCCCTTCCAGGAAGAAGTGGTTTGTACACATGCCGATTCCAATCAACAGGGAGAAGTCTCCGACTGGGCATTTGAAAATGGACGGCTCTTCTCATAACATTGCTCAGTTCTATATGAACCGTCCTCTTTTTTTCTTTCTTTTTGTTTTTTGGCCATGCTGCGCGGCTTGCAGGATCTTAGTTCCCCCACCAGGGACTGAACCTGCACCCTCGGCAGTGAAAGCACCGAGTCCTAACCACTGGACCGCCAGGGAATTCCCGTGCACCATCCTCTTGATAACCAATAATTTGAGTTTCTGAACCAGTATAGCTGATGAAAAGACCCTGGATAAAAGGTGACCCCAGAAGGTCAACACACTCTGTAACCGGATGCCGTGGGTTCCTGATGAAATGAGGGGCGGGCAGCCCCCTCACTCATCACAAGACCGTGACACACCACGGCAGCCGCCCGGAGGCTGTGGCCCAAGGCGCCTACCTTGTAGCCCTGGTTGATGCCGTTGATGAACTGCTGGGGTGGAGGGTTCCACAGGAACTGGATGGTTGTGGAGTTCACGGCTTCCACCTGCACGTTCTGCGGGGGCGAGGTCGGCACTGCTCCAGGGCAGCGGAGGGAGACAGCAGGACACGCGGCAGGAGGCGCGGGGCAGGGGAGGGGAGAAGAGATGCTTAGCTGCTGCTCAGGATTCCCCAGCGATCGCAGCGCTGAGAACGGGGAGGGTGATGGACGTTTTGGGAAGCTAATCGTGACGTTACAAAGAAGAAGAACTGGGCGACTTCTCATTTTCTGCTGGGGAATTTTTTAAGGCACACGCAGAAAAGTGGACCGGATCACCTTAGCCCCGTGGGCGAGCCTTTCCTAGGGATCCCAGGATGCATAGCAAACAAAAGCGTTCTCTGATTTCTTTTTTCAGTTACCCAATATTTGAGATCAAGGCAAGCTTTCATCCAGAAATCTGCTTTCCCTGTTATATGTCACAGTGTTTCAAGCCCAATTATCCTTCACATGAAAAAAAAAAATCCTTTTTCATAGATATTGTTATTTATTCATTTGTAGGCTCAATTTCTCTTTGTCTGCCATAGAAATTATCATTTAAACAATTTCCACTTTCCGCTTCTTTTATTGATTTCAACAGCTACTGAACCCAATCATACACCTGCCCAGTGGCCTGTCTGCAAGGAAGTCATATTCTAGGGGAAGCACTCACAGAACTGAAACAGGCAAGCGACTCTAGAAAACACACAGGGCAGAGCCTCTGCCCTAGGGAAGCATGGAAGGCCTCACGTCAGAAGACACCTGCACTAGGTCTGGGATAGAACTCTGAGGAGGGAAAGGCCTTGAGAGAGGCATTCGCACCTGGGAAAACGGAGTGAGCAAAGGCGTGGTATTATGAAAAACCTGGTGAATGGCGAGAAAACAGTGAGCATGGCTGGACATGGGGCCCGGGGGTAAGAGGGGCGGAGGAAGTAGACAGGTCGCTGTGGGGATTGCCTCACATGCCGAACACAGTGGACAACAGTGTATACGGTAGGCAATGGGGAATCAAAAGCCTTGGAAAACAGCAGTGACGTGACATGGCCAGCTTTTTAAGGACGATAACCTCAGTGGCCCCTGGAGAGGGTACTAGTCCACTGGCCGTGCCACGGCAACGTTTTGCAGGATGCAAACGAAGGTCCTGGTTCTTCAGGAGCTTGTTTCAAAAGAAAGACACAGAATCCCAAAGGACCCTTTGGCTTAAGGTACAGAAACAAAGACAAGAGGCTCTTGGCACAAAACACGTGAGGACAGAGCATGGTCCTGTTAAAAATTACTATACACCTTTCATTACACTCTTCTTCAGAAGCTCATCTCATTAGGCAGAGGTGAAAAACATAGAATTCATCCAGGCCCCTCCAGTCACGCTCCAGGTCACCTGTCTTTTCCCATCTGCTCTGGCTGCGCTATCTCTGGGTCCCTCCCTCAGTAAGTCACCAAGAAGACTGTCCCACTTCTCACTCAGCACCCATCCAAAATTTGTGGACTAAAAATGGCCACGGGGATTGCTTTGCCTAGGCTGTAGAAAGTTGGAAAGAACATCGCAGCCATTAAGCATGAGAAAAAGCTGAACAAACGATAGAGTCCGACCTTTTCTTGAGCCCGTAAGGAAGCTGAGGTCACAGGGCAACCAAGTGTCTAAAATATAAGAAAAGACGGACCTCCCCAAGGAGTTGGAATGTGAACATGGGCTCGCCTGTGACAGAGCACGAGAGAAAGAGCAATGGACACCACACAATTGGGAAAATTCAGCGAAATTCTTAATGAATTGCTAAAGGCTGAATGTGGGCTAGCAAGGGAGTACATAGAAAGTCTGTGCTGCAGATACACAAAAAGGTACAATGCATGTAAGACACAAAAACAAGAATAACAGCCCTTCTCATCAGAAACTATGTGAGCCAGAAGGTAATGGGGTGATATCTTTAAAGGACTGATAGAAAAATCTATCACCCCGGAATTCTACATTCTGTGAAAATATCTTCTAAATATGAAAGCAAAAAAAAGACATTTTCAGAAAGACAAAAACTGAGAGAATTCATTACTGGCAGACCTGCATGCACTATGACAAATGTTAAAGGAATATGATATCAGACACCAAAACTTTAGATCTATGCAAAGAATTGATGACTTCTGGAAATAGTTAAAATGAAGTAAATGTAATGTACTTTCTTCTTATTTTGGCTCTCAAAAAATAGTAGCAATTTATTGTGGGCTTATAACATAGGTAAGAATAAAATGACTGACCACAATCGCACAAAAGGTGGGAAGAAGGGATTGAAGGTATACTGCTACAAGGTCCCTACATTACTCACACAATGGATTTCAAGATACATTGTAGTTAATGAATGATATATATATTTAAACTCCAGAGTAATCACTAAACAGATTTGAAAAAGAGATCTAAATAAGGCAAGAGTAGAAAAAATAATGTAATTCTAAAAATATCTAATGAATCAGAAAGCAGGCAGGCAAAAGGAAGAGAAAAGGAAAAAGATAAGAGAGAAAACAAATAAAGAACAATTAGCGAAACGGCAGGTTTTAATCCCATCATATCGACAGTTACATTAAATATATAATGTAATATATTATCAATATATTTTATTGTATAAGCCAATAAAAGAGACATTATCAGTTGGATGAAGAGCGAGACCCAACTACACGGTGTTTAAAACAACCCCACTTTGACTATGAGGACACAAATAGCTTAAAAGTAAGAGAACGGAAAAAAATACATGAAACGCTAATTAAAAGGAACCTGGAGTGGTTATATTAGTATCAGTCAAAGTAAATACCCTACCAAGGAATAAAACCAATGATAAAGAGGGATATTATATAATGATGACGTGATCTATTCACCAAGAAGACTCAGCAATCCTAAATGCAGGTGCAACAGAGCTTCAAAGTACAAAAGGCAAAACTGAAAAAACTGAAAGTAAAAACTAGACAAATCTATTAGTATAGTTGGCGACTTCAACACTCCTTTATTTAAAAAAAAAGAGGTAGACAAAGGATATCAGTAAGGATCTACAAGAACCACATCATCAAGTAACTTGACCTACATAATGTTTCTTTTGAAATCTACCCAATAACAACATACTACACGTTCTTTTCAAGCACATATGGAACTTAACTGAGGTGGACATATTTGAAATATACATGTCATATAAAACAAACCTAAACAAGTTAAAAATAACTGAAATCACAAAAAGTATGTTTTATGACCCAACAGAATTAAACTTGAAATTAACGACAGAAAGATATGTAGAAAATCCCTAAAAACTTCAAGATTAAGGAGCACATTTCAAAATAACCCATGAGTTAAAGAGGAAATCACATGGAAAGTTAGAAAGCATTTTCAGTTTAATGGAAGTGAAAAACACAACATATCAAAATTTGGGGATGCAGAAGTGTTAGAGGGGAATTTATAGCATTTGGATGTTTATATTAGAATCGAAACTTCTACCTTAAGAATCTGTGAGAGTAAATTAAACCTATGGAAAGAAACAGTAAAGAAAAAGAGCAGAAATCAATGAAATAAAAATAAACAGTAATTGAGGAAATCAATGAATCCAAAAGCTGGTTCTTTTAAATATCAATAAACTCCTAGCCAGACTGATCAAGAATAGACAGAAATCACAAATTATCAACATCACCAGTATCAGGAGACGCCTCTATAAACCCTACTGAGATTAAAAGAATAGAAGAGCATTTTGAGTATCTTTATGCTCATTAATTCAACAACTTAGATGAAATGAACAAATTCTTTAAAAGAAACATACTTCCAATCTACTCAAGAAGAAATAGATGACCTGAGTAGTCAAAGAGCTATCAAATATTTGAATACAAAATTAAACCCTTCCAACAAAAAAACCTCTAAGCATATAAGGTTCACTGGTTAATTCTACCAAGCATTTGAAGAATGAAATAAAAGACATTGTAAAGCATTATCCTAACACCAAAATAAGAAACAGATGTTGAAAAAAAAAAAAAACTACAGGCCAATATCCCTGAGAACACAGGCGCAAAAACCCTTAATAAAGTATTAGAAAGTCGGGCTTCCCTGGTGGCGCAGTGGTTGAGAGTCCGCCTGCCGATGCAGGGGACGCGGGTTCGTGCCCCGGTCCGGGAGGATCCCACATGCCGCGGAGCGGCTGGGCCCGTGAGCCATGGCCACTGAGCCTGCGCGTCCGGAGCCTGTGCTCCGCAACGGGAGGGGCCACAACAGTGAGAGGCCCGTGTACCAAAAAAAAAAAAAAAAAAAAAAATTAGAAAGTCAAATTCAGCAATATGTAAAAATCACAATTTATCCTAATCAAGTGGGGTTTATCTTATAAACATAAGGCTGGCTCAATATTCGAATATCAATCAGGGTAATTCAACATCATCAATAGAATTTTAAAAATATAATCATCTTAATAGATTTAGAAAAAGAATTTGACAAAATTCAACCTCCAATAGTGATGAAAAGAAACCCCTCAAACTAGGAATTAAAAGGAACGTACTGAACTTGCTAAGGAGCATCTGTAAATCACCTACAACCAACAACTTATTTAAAATGAAAAACTGAACGCTTTCCCCTGAGATCAGCAACAAAGCAAAGGTGTCTTTCTTGCCATTCCTATTCTGGAAGGGCAAGCTGGTGCAGTAATCCGAGAAACAGAAATCAAAGGCACACAGATCGAAAAGGAAAACAAAACAAAACACAACAGCCTCTCTCTATTCACAGACAATATGATCATCCATGTAGAAAATTCCTCAGTCTACCAACTATATACTCCTAGAACTGAAAGTAGCAAGATCAAAACACAGAAGTCAATTATATTTTGAAACATGAGCAATGGACAACTGGAAATTGAAATGAAAAATTTAGTACTGGGGCTTCCCTGGTGGCACAGTGGTTAAGAATCCACCTGCCAACGCAGGGGACACGGGTTCGAGCCCTGGTCTGGGAAGATCCCACATGCCGCGGAGCAGCTAAGCCCGTGCGCCACAACTACTGAGCCTGCGCCCTACAGCCCACGAGCCACAACTACTGAGCCCACGTGCTGCAACTACTGAA